AGGAAAAAAAAATGGGTGGTTGCATCTATACTGAAAATATACAGACTCTTCTCCTTTTTTTTCTGTTTTGAGATGGAGTCTCACTCTGTTAACCAGGCTGGAGTGCAGTGGCACATTCTCAGCTCACTGCAGCCTTCACCTCCTGGACTTTTTTCCTTTTCATTATTCACTAAACAATGCAATCTAAAACTACAGTCATGGCCACGTACAGTGGCTCACGCCTGTAATCCCAGCACTTTAGGAGGCCAAGGTGGGTGGATCACAAGGTCAGGAGTTTGAGACCAGCCTGACCAACATGGTGACATGCTGTCTCTACTAAAAACACAAAAATTAGCCAGGCGTGGTGGCGGGTGCCTGTAATCCCAGCTTCTCAGGAGGCTGAGGCAAGAGAATCACTTGAACCTGGGAGGTGAGGGTTGCAGTAAGCCAAGATCATGCCACTGCACTCCAACCTGGGCGACAGAGCAAGACTCTGTCTCAAAAAAAAAAAAAAAAAAAAGTGATAGTCATGCATGCCTTAACAACAGGGACACATTCTGAGACTGTCGTGCAGACATCCTGAAGTGTATTTGCACCAATCCGGATGATCTAGCCTCCTGCACACCTACGCTATGCAGTCTAGCCTGTGGCTTCTAGGCTGTAAGCCTGTGCAGCATGCTACTGTACTGAATACTGTAGGCAGCTGTACCCCAATGGTATTTGTGTATCTAAACACATAGAAAATGTGCAGCAAAATTACAGTATCGTGATCTTATGGGACCATCGTTGTATACTGTTGTGGATTGGAATGCCGCTCTGAGGTCCGTGACTGGGCTTACATTTGCATTGGATTAGGTACGGTATTACACGTGTTCTAGAGATGAGTAAAAGTGTACAGGGGGATGTGCATAGGTTGTATGCTAGGACTACACCAACTTGAATAAGGGGCTTGAGCAGCCGTGGATTTCAGTATTCGTAGAAGGTTTTAGAACCAGTCCCCACGGATACCATGGGATGACTAGACTAGTTTCATTTTCCCTGAACTGTCCGTATCACTCTCTGTCCCTCACACATGGAAGTGCTTTAACACTTTACCAAGCGCTTTGCTTGACAAAGTACCATGATGAATGCATTGAAGCTTCCAGAATTTTCTGGAAATCTGACGGCCCCATCCTGGCTCTCCAGCTCCTGACTCTCTTTCAGAAAGACCCTAGCAAACCTCCCTGGTCTCCCTGCGGGAGGGCACCTCCAGTCACCCCCACACCCCGGCTTGTGGAAGATGCAGTCAGGGGAGAGCAGTGGGTGCCAGCCTTTGTCTTCTTGGGTCCTTTGTGTCCCTGAGGGTCGTGACTCTGCCCTACTGGGCCTGCCCAGCAGTCCCCTTGTGGGACCTCCTCCAGGGACAAGATTAGTGTTGATGATCTCATTTCCCGGGGATCCTGCTGGTTCAGTGTGGGCTCACATTAGCCCAAAGGGAGAGGTTCAGGGAGAAGGACCCTGAGTGGTTCCTTGGGCTGTGTCCTGGGGATTGGGATAGGGGACTTGCTTAGGACCTGGGGCTCTGGCCATATGGCAGTGACTTGTGCTGCAGGCCATTGAAACTTGCACAGAAGCTGTATCATCATAGAGTTCTAAGCATAAGCACGATGGCTAAAAATCAGTACAGTCGACTCACACACCTTGGTTGAAAGTAGGACCAATCATTTTGGATAAGGTTGGGAAATTGTAGCCCCAAGCAGTGTGGGGGTGAAGCCTCAGCTACTAGCTGGATGGGATTGGGCAAGTCATCTAAACTCGCAGAACCTCGGTTTGATTCTTAAAATGAACGTTACATCCACGGAATCAAAGAAAGCTTCTGATTCTTTGCTTGATGCATAGCAGGTGATCAGAAAGTCAGAGTGTCTCCTTCTTCCTTTATCTTATAGCTCAATAACTTTCCTTTGGAGAACCTGTCAAATACAGATTCCGACGGACCTCAATGCCCTTTGCAGTAATCATCCTTTAAGGGAGGCCTGGGGAGCTACACTGGGAACCATCAAAGCTTCATCAGAAGGGGAGGCCCTTTCTTGGGCCAGTGCATCAATGCCGTGCCCCCTCCTCCCCGAATGACCTTGGGTCTGCTGTTGCCAGGGATAGGAGGATGCCTGAGGTCTGGCAGGCCATTTCTGTCAGTGACCTTGCATCCATTCTGATGGGACCTATCTAAGCACGTAGGACCGATTTAAACCTGACCCCTAGCCGTGCATCCCTGAGGCCAAGCCTGCTGCCTGGTGGAGGGAAGGACGGGTGCCAGCAGTTGATTGTACAGTAAGTGGCTTTGCCTGCCTGGGACGCCCAAGCATTTTTTTTTAGACAGAGTCTCGCTCTGTCGCCCAGGCTGAAGTGCAGTGGCACAATCGATCTTGGCTCACTTACAACCACCCTCTCCCAGGTTCAAACAATTCTCATGCCTCAGGCTCCTGAGTAGCTGGGGTTATAGGCAGGTGCCGGCAGGCCTGGCTAATTTGTTTTTGTAATTTTAGTAGAGACAGGGTTTCGCCATATTGGCCAGGTTAGTCTCAAACTCCTGACCTCGAGTGACCTGCATGCATTGGCCTCCGAAAGTCAAACAGTTTTTCATCAGGTGCATGCATTTTTCATTTGCAAGTTTTGCCAAAGTACCCATTTTTTCCTTCGTGGTTGTTTGCAGTTGCCCTTATTCCTAGGCTGCCTTCCCCATGGCTGTCACCAGTCTGTCAGCTCACGAGGGCTGGCTGGTGCCCTGGGATCCAGCTGCTCACAGCTGCTGGCACAGTGCCCTGCACTTGGGAGGCTAACCATAGTGCCTGCATGAGACCAGTGGCCACTTCACGTCTGTCTACAGGGCTGCCCTCGGTTGGCATGCAGCTGTGGGCCCTTTGCTGGGAGGGGCATCTCTGATCAGAGGTAGAAAGGGCACTGGCAGCAGAACTTCGTGCCAGCCTCGCCAGGTGAGTGGCTGATGGAAACCAAAAGTCTCTGAGGCAGGTCTCAATCAATTTAGAAGCTTATTTTGCTTAGTTTAAGAATGCACCCTGGAGACGGATCTGAGCCTTTCTCCAAAGATGATTTTGAGGGCTTCAGTATTTAAAGGGGAAAAGCGGGCTGGAGGGGAAAGCAGGAGGGTGTGGTCACATGACTGAATTCATACATGTTGAGAGAAAAGGAGCAGCAGGGGAATCGTCCAATTTCTTTAATTGTCTTGTGCTCATTTACATCAGCACTTTACATAAGATAATGTGAGCATGGAGTAGATACCTGTGTAAACGCTTAACCTTTTCTCTGCAGCTCTCTGCTTAGGAACAAAAGGGAAGGCAGCTTCTTGCATGACTCAGCTTTCAGCTTACGTTTTTCCTTTTGGCGGTGTGAACTGGGGTTCCGAGTTTTTATTTTCTTGTCACAACAGGCTCCATGCTAGAAGCACGGGAGGCCCCTCTGAGCACTGCTCTGTGTCCTGCCTGATGGAGGCCCTTTGGTAAAGGACTTGGGGAAGATGTGGGTCCTGAGGATAGGACACTGGGACAATTATGAAGAGGCAGGGGCTGTGTCCTGGACCCAGGCTGCTCAGCAGATAAGCACACACACCATCTGTGCTGGTCCTGGAGGTACTGCCGGAGGAGCCGAAGCTGGCACAGTGGAGCAGAGCTCCGGAGCCTGATGTGCCCACAGAGGCTGACTCAGGTATCTAGTCCAGAGTAGCAAACACCATGGGGACATCCGGCTCCGATTTGCAGACTTGGGAACATTCAGGTGCCATACCTATGGCGATTCTCGGCAATTTGTTCATACAGAGCAGGAAACCCCAGCGCCAGGAGTAAGCAGGGTAGTGTCTGGGTCTTCAGGGAGGAGCTGCTACAGAGGCTGGGTCTGTAAGCACCTGGCCTCCTGCCTGGTTTCAGGAGGTGACTTGAGGCCCCATGGGGAGGGGACTTCAGGCAAAGGCTCCAGATTGCAGCCCTGCCCCTCCAGGCCCACTGTGTCAGGTCTGCACTGCCAGGGGCCAGGCCTGGGTGTCTCAGGTCTGCACTGCCTGGGGTCAGGCCCAGATGTCAAAGGTCTGCATTGCCTGACCAGGTGGTGTTTCATTAGGAAACATGGCTTAAAGGGTAGCTGGCACTAAATTGAGTGGCACATAGAGTCACACAGTTCACCTGATGGATACTTTCAAAAGAATAGAGCATCATATATTGTTGAAGTTGAAACATACATGAACTTTGCTATGTACGTTCCTTCCTTCATGAATGGCCCATTGCCCTTTAATATTGCTTCGGTATCTATCAAAGTACAGATGTTTTACTTTTTTATGGTAAAATCTGTCCGTTTTTTTCTCCATCATGACGGTTTTTGCTTTTGATGGTTTGTCTGGTGATGCTTCCCCAAAAAATGGAAGACTCTCAGAGACACCCCTTCTGGGCAGGGGAACCTTTGAAGACTTCGATCTAGTTCAAAAAGTTAGTTTTTCCATTAGGTAATGGTTTGTTTTGACCTATAAAAATCGTGAAACAAATGCTAACACAATGATGGTAGAGAGACTGATGAGTTTGGCAAGTCTGGGGCGCATATGAGGCGGTCGGGGATCAGCAGAGAAGTTTCCCAAACACATGAGCATAGAGGCAGTTTCTGGGTTTGGGTCCTGAGGGAGAATCTCTCCCTGCGTTGCCGTTGCTAGTGCTGCCCCAGGGTCTTGCGATTGTCTGGGGACCCAGGGCCTGTGCAATGGTGTTGACAACAGGCTCTCAGCTCAGGGAGGATGGGATCTGGGAGGAAGGTCCCTAGATATAAACTGGCTCAGAAGCTGTCCTCTGTGACGAATGCACCCCAGTCTGCCTCTGGAAACCTATCCCTTCAGCCCACGGTTGGCTGCCATGACCAGCGTCTGGGCTCTGCCCTGGAGCTGGCATCCTTTTAGTGAAGGTGCGTCTTCCAGCACAATCCTGTTCTCGGGACTCTGCTGCAGACGAGTCCCCAGGAAGCTGTGGAGACACTAGGGCGGGTGTGTGAGAGGAAAGGGGAGTGCGTGGGGAGAGAATTGGTACTTTTTCTCAGGACTGGAGGAAGCTCTGAAAATGGAAGCCAAAGACGCGGCTTTTGCCTAAGCCCACACGCGGGACTGGCGTGTCTGCAGCGTCGCGCCGCCATGGAATATGTCCTCTTCGTGCTGTATTTCTCTTTCTTCCTGTGTCTCTGCGCCCTTGTGTGCCTGTACTTCTCTGGCTGCCAGGAGATGACCTATAAGCATGAAGGTAGGCGGCTGGTTCGGGATTTTGTTTTTTGAGGTTCTGTGGCGGTCCCTGGCTATGACCGATGCTCCTGCCTGTGCCAGGCAGTTCCGTTGAAAATGACAGGAAGACGAGAAGACAGGCAGCAGAGACAGGCTGGATCCAGTTGAGGGGCTACTTGTTTTGAGGGGTACCTCCTCTTTTTCCCTCTGCATCATTTGACCTGCTAAGGAAGACCACCTCTGTATAGTCAACGTGTAAATGGAGGAGACATGTTTACTCTTCATTCATTTTGCCACAACTGATTTTTTTTTTGAGACAGGATTTTAGCCTGTCACCCAGGGTGGAGTGCAGTGGCACAATCATGGCTCACTGCATCCCCAACTTCCCAGGCTCAAGTAATGTTTCCACCTCAGCCTCCCAAGTAGCTGGGACTACAGGCATCAGCCACCATACTTGGCTAACTTTGTCAACAACTTTTTGTAGAGATGACTTCTCACTATGTGGCCCAGGCTGACCTTTAACTCCTGGGCTCAAGCAATCCTTCTGCCTCAGGCTCTTAAAGTGCTGGGATTACAGGCATGAGCCACTGTGTCCGGCCAAAATGGAATCTTAGTCTGAACCTGGATTCATTTGTAAAAACAAATCAACAAGGAGAGACTTTGGTTCAAGGAGTATGGAAGGTTAGAGGAATTCGCCTTTTTATTCAGTAGATGGGCTCAGAATGAGCAAATGGTGGACATTTTTGCTCCTAAAGTATCTCTTGTGAGGAAAAACCCAGAGACTCTTAAAACAACTGGACAGTTTTTTTTTTTATGCTTGCCATTTTTTTTTAAGCCCACTATGTGCCATGCATGGGAGGAAACAATGTTTTCTGGGCAGTTCTCTCATCCCTTGAGAAGCAGGTGGTGAATTATTTCCTGCACATTTGGAAAATACAGCAAAACTGGGTGCATTGCCTTTGAGAAGATAGCCGCTGTGTTTCCACCTGCAACATTCACGTATCTTTTCTATTTTTATTAACAAAGGTACAAATATATCTAGATATTGAGTATATGTAGGCTTCCTGCATAATAGAATCACTCAAGAAAACTCTTCTTTAAAGAAAACAAAGTAACCTAGTGCTATAAAATGTTATAAAAAGTTAAAACCAGGCATGGTGGCTCATGCCTGTAATCCAGCCCTTTGGGAGGCTGAGGTGGATGGATCACTTGAGTTTGGGAGTTTGAGACCAGCCTGGCCAACATGGTGAAACCTCATCTCTACTTAAAAAAAAAAAAAAAAAAAAAAAAAACAACTATACAAAAACTAGCCAGGTGTGGTAGATGTGGTGGCATGCACCTGTAATCCTAGTTGCTCGGGAGGCTGAGGCAAAAGATTCATCTGAATTTGGGAGATAGAAGTTGCAGTGAGCTGAGATTGTGCCACTGCACTCCCTCCTGGGTGACAGAAGGTAACTCTGTCTCAAAAAAAAAAAAAGTTAAAATGTTTTAAAAAATACCCAGCATAAAGGACCTGAGTGGCTGGGTCCCAGGCGGCTCCTTGCTGCTGTGGAAACTGCGTGTGTGGCGTCTGGCCATGGATTCCTCTCCATTGCTGTAGGATTCAGATTGGACTGCCTTTTTGTGTTTGATTTCTGCCCTAAGAGCAGCTTCTTTCCCTTCAAGCAGCATAGTTCTGTGGAGTCTTGGCCTCTGGGCTGTATGATATGATAATTTCAGGGGCTCCGTTGGGTCTGGAGTTAGGCTGTTTGCAAAGGCTGCTCTACCTTAAACACAGGCGGTAACATTGGTAGTTAATGCTCTGTCTTTGGGCTTGATAGTTGAGTCCTTAACTAGTGTCCCATGGAGCCTTAACAAGTGAATCATTCTAGGTAATTGAACACTGAGTTCTTGGCCCGAGGAAGGTACCTGACCCTGATGTGGATGGTCACAGCCCAGCAGTGTGTCCTAAACATTTGGAAAGTGTGTGACTTGATGATGCTTCCTGGGCTGCAGCAACAAGCGGACCCATCCCCAGAGGCCTTGCAATCAGCAGTGTTTCTGGGAAATAAGGTCGGCTCAGCGGCTGCTCAGAAAAATGTGGAACCTGGAGCTCGGGCGGGGGTGACCTGTGTGTGTGCAGAAGAGCTTGAGTACTGCAGATGCGTTACTCCTGTGGGTGCCATTGTCACCTTGGGATGTCACTTCCACTGCTCTCTAGAGCTCATTGGAAGATTCCATGATACCTGAAGTCAGGTGGGGTTCTCATCTGGAGGGAAGATTTGAGTAGATGATTGTCTCCCGCCTCTGTGAGGAGAGAAATGACATAAATCGATGTTGCCCATAGTCCTCACATACCCGCCAGTGAGACTCAACTGGGGCATGTGACCACGTGGTGCCCAACTGATGCCAGCTGTGTGAATGAATGGAAAGGGTGTTATGTGCAAAACAAGTTCTGTTTGTGATAGACAAACTAGTGTGGCTTTGAGTTCATTAACACTGGGATATAGTAGGGAACAAAAGGGCCAACCCCTGCCTTCATGGAGCTTCCATTCCAGGGAGTGGGGTGAAGACTGTCGGTAAACACAATAGCTTCCTGGATCTTCTGTCAGGTGGGAGACATGCTATGGAAAGAAATAAAGAAGGAGGCCTGAGAGGCTGGGGTGGGGATGGGGCAGAAGGGACCTGGGCTTGGTGGCCAGGAAGCCTTTTCTAATGTGGTTGCATTTGTGCAGAGATCTGAAGGGATCTAGGGAAGGAGCCATGTGGATTCTGGGGAAGAGCCTCTTGGAGTGGAAAGGCCCCATGGCAGGTGTGTGGGGGGGTGCAGGAGCCTGGCCTGGAGGAAGAGAAGGGAGGCATGACGCCAGGGCGGGATGGGAGGTAGATCCTGCAGGCCCCGCAGACACTTGTAGCCTGCATGGGTGTTGGTGGTTGTAATTCCAGAGAGAGCTGTTGGTGGCTGGGACCGAAGGTGTCAGTGGAGAGAGTCAGGGAGAGGACTGGATTTTGGGTCGAAAGTGAAGCCAACAGGCTTTCTCCCAGAGGGCAGGCATGAGAGGTGGAGAACAGAGAGGAGGCCTCTCCTAGGACTGGGGCCTGAGCAACTGAAGCATGAGCTGCTGCTGCTGGACTCCAGTTAGATGGCAGGAGGCGCGGTGCTGGGGTAAGTCACTGCCCACTAGGATTCCACGATGCCGTGGAGGACGCAGCTGACAAGTGAGCCTGGAGTTCAGTGGGGAGTTCATGCCCCACGCATATTAAAAAGCAAGGAGGAATGTGGGGTGGATGCAGTGCACGGGGAGACAGGTGCCAAATGCAAGAATGTTCTGGGTGATGTGTAGTGGTGGGTGCCTCCCTTGAAGCCCCTTCGGAAACTGTAAGGTGACAAGGATGTCCCTGCATCTTCTTCCCTGACTTATGTCTGAATCATTTCCTAATTGCCGTTATTAACTCTGGTGTCCGTCACATTTTTCTCACATTTACAGACATTGGGGTAAAAGGCATAGGCTGGGAGGGGCCCTTCGGATGTGGGGAGTGCCTGGCCTTTCTCTGTGAGATGGGGGAGCTGTGGGTGAAGCTGGCTTCTGGATGAGCCACCACAGCCTGGGGCTGGGCTCTGGAATTCAGTTTTGATTCCTTCTTCATGGTCTGAAAAGCATTCATTGATTGTAAAAACAAATAAACTCCTTGTCAGGGCTATTTGGGGAAAAGAAATCCTAAAATAAGGGACATCGATCTGGTGATTGTGGGTCGATGTCTGCAGCCCCCAGGGCATGTGAGCTCCTTGGGGCAGGGACATGGCCTGGTTTTGATCCTGTGATATTCCCCAGGCCTGCCCCATGTCTGTCCCACAGCAGGAGCTTAGCCAGTGTTTGCTGAGTGAATGAATGGCTAGACAGATGAATGACACCTCATAGCCTATGATATTTGGAGTGGGAGAAGTGCTGGCAGGGCGACTCAGAGGCTGACACATGGAGGCTTACGATTTGCCTCTGGATCTGAGCGACAGGTGCCTGAGGGTTGATTACACTATTCCTTCTCATTCTGTGGACGTTCCCAGTTTTCTATAATAAGCAGTTAAGCAGAGATTGCCTCTTTGTGTAGGTCTGGCCGAGATTTGGGCCATGCATTTGCCATGCCAGTCAGAGCGCTGGAACTGTGGATGGGCTCTCCACTCCTTCAAGCTGTTGCTGCCTCTGGTGTCCATATTCATTCAGTTCTTCTCCTTGGAACTGGACATCTCCCTGGGCCCTGTCCCCCTTTCTCCTTGGTACAGCCAGTGTGCTGCTCATGGGACATGACAGCGTGCTGGGCTGCTTTCTGGGCACAGGACATGAATGGCCACTTTTTTGCTCACAGGTGAGGTGGCTTCTCACTCCATTTGCCAGAGAAGGAGGCCGGTGCTCCAGGGGCCAAGTGGTTTGCACAGGTCTACAGCTGGAGAACCTGGGCCAGGATCAGACCAGCTCGCTCGGGCTGTAAACCCAGGGTCATCCGCCACCTGCTACCACCCTTTCTCCCACCCAGTCAGTTACAAAGCCCACCAGCCGCATCTTGCGATGCTCCAGTGGCCCAAATGGCAATCGCTGCCCCCAGCACTGGTATGCCCATGATCAGTGGCTGGCGGACTCCAGGAATCCTCAGTCATTGCTAACGTCATACAAATTGCATTTTACAGAAGCATGTTGTGGAGACATTTTTTGGATTTGATGAGGAGTCTGTGGACTCAGAAACGTTGTCTGAAACATCCTACAACACAGACAGGACAGACAGGACCCCAGCCACGCCTGAAGAAGACTTGGATGATGTAAGCAAACCTTCAGAGGGGGTGGGGCCTCACCCCGGATGCTCTCGGGCAGCACCTCCTGCCTTTGGCAGTTGCAACTTCTGCTCCCTTGCCTATAGTTTTGAACCCCAGAGGACCCGTTCCTACCAGTGCCTTATCAAAGCCGATGGCATGAAGGGAAGGCAGCCCCCACGGCCGTGGGCTCCATGAATGGTGATGGGAGGGCAGCACATGGGGACCCTTTCTTTCCCCAGCACTGATTTCTCCACCAAGGCAACCCGTGACTGCCAAGTTCAAGTTGAACCATTGATAGATGTCACCTTGCGTTTCCTCACTGTTTGCAACTAAAACTGCCACGTGATGGTCTCTCCCTGGTCCCCACGCATGTGTGCACTCGTGCACACACCACCTGGCTGACACAGCATCTTCCCTTTCTTGACTAAGATAAAGCAAGTAATCCAAAAAAATATAAAGAAGAAGATGACGAGTCCCTGAAGTCCCATCACCCCAAGGTCACCACCTAACCCTGTCCTGACCATCTGTGCCCATCTGAATGCATAGCCAGGTTCTTGAGCCAGCTGGATTCACGAGGGGGCAAGCCTGGCTTTGTTCTCACTTACCTTCCCTAGGTGAATTCTTTCAGGAGTGCTGAGTACATCTCAGGCAGACCTGTGGGCCTCTATGCCTTCCAGTGACATGTGATTAATTTCCTAAACTCTAGACTTCATTCAACGCAGACCTTCCCCTTGCTCCTCACCGGGGCCTGTGCCAGGCTTGGCTGCCATTCCCCTACCTCACTCTTCTGCCTCTCCCCATTGCAAGCCCCTAGTGGCTTCTTCTGAGCCCAGAGAAGGGCCGGAATGGGAAGGAGGTGTGGATGTTCTGGGGCAACTGGCCCTCGGGGCAGTGTCCTCTTGTGGGGGCAGGTGGATTGTGCTGCCCCTCAGGGTGCACCTCTCTCGGTCTCCAGGAATTCTCCATGATGTGCTGCACTCCATGGCTTCCTGGTGAGGGACTGGGCATTGCTGCTCCTGGTGCCCCCACATCCCAGGAATCTGAATGATAAGCCTCACACACCCCGCCCCCACTCATTGTACTTTCCCCCTCCTGGTGGCCTTTTCTGTGGAGTCCCTTCTGGAATGGCTTCTAGGCTGGTTCTCTCCCATGGGTCTATTTGCCACAGGAAAATGTGGCACCTGCTGTGGGCACTGGCACATCCAACCTCAAGATGGCCCTCTCTGTGCTCTTCCATCTTGTGCCAAAGCTCTAGTGGACACGTGTCACCTCTGCAGGTCATCCCCTTGACATCCGTTCTCATGCTGGGAGAGACACACCATCCTCCCTGTCAGCCCACCAGCCTCAGCCTAAGTGCTGGCTGGAGGGAAGGGCCTGGCCGGTGCTGGAGACACACCACCGTCCATCGGCATGTCCTGCACAGGAGTCTGGACTGGGCTACTCAGCCTTTCGGGCCTTGTTCTCAGCCATGGGTTTTTTATGTTTAACTTAGGATGGGTGCTTTTCAGTTTGCTTGTTTCCAGCCAGTGATACATAATAGGCATCTTTCAGCACCAGGCATGGGATTGCCTCAGCCTCTCCCATGGCCACACGGAGATTTCCCATGGATGAGTGTCAGGCATTGATGAGGGATTTATGCTGTCATTTTCCACACCTGTGAACCATGCACGGAGCTCCTTCTTATTTGCATCTTTGTACACTTATGTGGCCCTGTGGCCATCTCTCTCTCTCTCTCTCTCTTTTTTTTTTTTTTTTGAGACAAGAGTCTAGCTCTGTCACTCAGGTGGGAGTGCAGTAGCATAATCTTGGCTCACTGCAACTTCTGCCTCCCAGGCTCAGGAATTCTCCTGCCTCAGCCTCCCAAGTAGCTGGGATTACAGGTGTCCACCACCATGCCCAGCTAATTTTTGTATTTTAGTAGAGACAAGGTTTCACCAGGCTGGTCAAGCTGGTCTCGAACTCCTGACCTCAGGTGATCCACCTGCCTTGGCCTCCCAAAGTGCTGGGATTACAGGTGTGAGTCACTGCACCCGGCCATGTCTTGAGGATAAATTCCCAGAATAGGAGGTGCTGGGTGGGAGGGGCACCCTTTACAACAGAGACCTTTGCTTCTGGAGTTGCATGGTACCCACCTGCTCCCCACATAACTCAAGTGATTCTGGGAGTGGGAGCTCCTGGGAGGAGCGCTGATGGCTGAGGAGGTGCCTCCTCCTGGCAGCCCTTCCCTCCAGTGCCCTAGTTGCTTCCTGGCAATGTGGGGCTCCCTAAGCACTTGCTGGCAGCACTGTGAGATGTGGCCTTTGGATGTTTTCTGAGTTGATCCTGGCACTCAAAGCCACAGCAAGTGATTATTTACGTTTATAATTAAAATCAGTCAGAAATCATTTATTACTGTAATTATGCCCTTGGTTATTTTTGCTCCATTATGTGAAGACCACAGCCCGAGAAGAGGCTGACCTGCGCTTCTGCCAGCTGACCCGGGAGTACCAGGCCCTGCAACGCGCCTATGCTCTGCTCCAGGAGCAGGTGGGAGGCACGCTGGACGCAGAGAGGGAGGCCCGGGTGAGTGCAGCCAGCCTCAGGGCTCAAGAGAGCAGCCTAAGACCAGGTCATGCAGGTCCTTTCCTGGCTTGGACACTCAGAGGAGATTATTCTGAGAGCTGGCGGGGAACCTACAGCAAGGTCTTTAGTGTGGTGGCGTTCCAGATCCCTCTCTGCATCCTTGGTGTGATGGCAGGAGCTCTGGAACGTCGAGCTGTTAGACGAAGCAACGCTACACATCACCTGTGCTGTCTGCATGGAGGAGAGCATGCATTCAGAATTTAAGGCTAAGTGAAGAAATCACAGATGTGGCCGGCCTTGCAGGCTTCAGGCTCCTTTCCCTTCACAACTGAGAGCCCCCTGCCCTCTGGGATATCCCTGCAGAACACTTGCAGGGACTCTCGGGGTGCTCCCCAGCCCCCAGGGCACTCTGGGCCCTGTGGCCACCTCAGTCCAGGCCATGCTATTCATTTCTCAGGCTGGGTTGAGCTTTGCCTTCTGGAAACTTCCACCTACTGGCCCTTCTCCCAACTTCGGGAGTCACTGGGGCCTGCTCTTCCTTCCTCCTGGGAATGCGGGGGACTCCAAGACAGCACATGTGGGTGCTTCCCTGCAACCCTTCCCCTATGTCACCCCCACACTGGTCCCCTGAGGCAGGAGGAATTAACCCCATCTTCTCAATGAGGAAACAGGCTCAGAACCGAGCAACTTGCCCCCAGGTGCCCAGATGGTACTGAACGGAGCTGGGAGTCAGGCCAGGTTTCTCAGACTCCGGGTCCTGTGCTTTTTTCCAGAGCCCTGTTTGGGAATTCTGCAAAGGGATGGATTTTGGTGGTCTTAAAGGTGATGGGTGAGAATGGGGGATTGTTTGGCAAATCTGATGGCAAAGGCAGAGAGGAGAGGCCACGCCCAGGTGGAGCTTGTCCCAGGGACAGCAGTGGCCCTGTGGGGGTTGCGGGCAGGAGGAAGGGGGAGTGAGGCCAGCAGGGAGGGAAGCCTCTTGTCCCTCTGTAAAAAGTCCAGTCTTTATGATCTAGGTTAGAGGGAAACTGGGAGGCTTTGTATGGGCTGAATCACATTTGTTTTGCCTTTTAAGTTTCATCCACTTGTCAACATTTAAAAGTCAAGAGATTCCATAGAGAAATCCAGGCTCCTGACCTCTCTTGAAAGGTGGCAGCAGCAGGCCTCCCATTACATGTGGCTGCTGCTGGGTGGCAGCGTCTCCTTGAGATGGGACATGCACCTCTGGCTTGCCACAGTCCCCACCACTCCCTGTTACCCCACACCCAGTTGGCTTCCTGTATTTATGTGACTAGCTTGGTGCTTGAAGTATTTTGCTTTTCAGCCCCTGCTGTAGACGATAAGCGACCCAGCAAGTTTGCAAGTGTATTGAAGTCTGATGATGGCTGAGTGAGCCTCAGGTTCAGTGAGGATTGAACCTGGTTGGAGAGCTGGGCCTGGGCCCCCAGTGTGACTGGCTTCTGGCTCACTCACCCCCGTGAAAAACAGAGTCCTTTCTCCAGGCCTCATTTTCCTTGTCTGTAAAACCAAGCAAGTTGGAACTGTCAGACTTTCCAGACTGTTCCGTTCTTAATGATTCCGTGTTTGAAGCTGAGCCCTGCTTCTAGGTAGGCCGAGGTGGAATACGTGCTCCTAAAAATGAACCTGCTCCTAAGGTTTGCCTGTAAGGCCCCTGGGCATTGCTTGCCTTCGGGCATGACGCTTTCCTCTTCTCTGTCACCCATTGGGGGCGACCCGCTCATGGCCTGGTCTTTTCCCTTCCAGACTCGGGAGCAACTGCAAGCTGATCTGCTGAGGTGTCAGGCCAAAATTGAAGATTTGGAGAAGTTACTGGTTGAGAAGGGACAGGTGAGCAGGAATGATCTGTGCTGTGGGTCTTCGTCTTTCTTCCCCTTGGTGGTGTCCCTGAGGCTTGCCCACTAGCCAAGGGGGATGTTCTGTGGGGCCGGATCAGGAGCTCCAGAGACACTAGAGGGAAAAAACACTAACATGACCCAGGCAAGCATGTGCTTCCTAATGTGCCCATGTGCCCAGTTAAAAAATCAAAGCAAGGTATGGATTCTAACTTGGCTTTTTCTTTGTTTGTTTGCCAAATGCACAAAAAGATAGGATGTCATTCCAAAAGCAAAGGTGTGATCAGAACTGGTTTTGACTTGAACCTGAAGAAGAGCTGTCACTGCCTATCGAGGTTTTAACTGTGAAAGGAAGCAGCACCCGTGACTGGCCCTGGGTTAGTGCAGGGGCCCCGCCTCAGGCTTTGTGGCAGCTGGGCTCCCTGCTGTGATTGTGCCTCCAACAGCCTGGCCCTGTGCGGCTCAGGTTAGAGTCACCTGCCCCTACCCATCCACTGCATTTGATTAGGCAAGGCCCGGTCGACAGGAAGACGCAGCAGAAAAGCAACACCTGAGCCTAGGCCTGTCCCCTGGTGTT